ACATTAGTAGTTCCTCCGAACCAGAGCGTGCACCCGATCGACGTCGACTTCATGGTGGAGCATGCAACGATCAGGCTCGAGGCGATCAAGGCCCCCCCCCATCTTGATCCTGCATGGGTGTCGTTTCTACAACCTCCATTCGAAAGATGCATGGCGGCTAGAATAGCAGGGACGGATATTTACGAGGCCGGGCGACGACCGAACGTCATGTACCACTTCCTCATCCTTGTGGTGCTCAGAAGGGAGTGACGGTCATATACGGAGACCCATCTGGTGATGACTGGCTCCAGGAACTGCACGGTGCAACGACGAATCGGTCAGGCCATTGCCGATCTGGCGCCACGTGTCCGTGCCGGGGGCTTTTCCTTACCCCTCCTTCGTCCAGCACCACTTCAACAAGTGGCGGCGCCAACAACCCCGGTGGTGCTGGCAGCCTTCCTTTCCCCGCTTCCTCTCCCTCTCAATCCTAATATCGACTTTTTTCTTTGAACCTCCACTTCTATTCTTCTTCTTCTTCTTGATCAGAAAGGTCGCGCGTCAACACACGCTGTGTAAGAAAAAAAAAATTGGTTGATTACCGATCGGACCAGCTGATGATGAAGTGGCCGCCCGATCCGGTGTATTATATAAGGACAGATCAACGATGTTGCATCGAGAATAGATTAGGAGATGATCCAGGCCAGCTGCCGATGATAGGGCCACCCGGAACCTCTGAATAATTAGGACACCTACAACGCAGTCAGGAGATTCCTAATTTTTTGGAACCCCCTGGTCGTCACAGATGTGATAAGCCAGGATCCGTACGCAGCTGCTTCCCGTACCCTTAAGGGAAAATCCCACGAAGTACGGGTTCTGGGCGATCCGGAAAGACGGGGCCTTTTTTTTTTTTTTTTTTTTTTTTTTTTTCTTGAAACAAGGGAGGGGGGGGGGATCATAAACTTATGATTTCTCCACGTGGACAGTTAGCAATCATGCCAAGAAATTCAAGAAACGATTAGGAATTAGTGTGGGCAGGAATTTCAATTTTTACATGATGATGCCGCATGGCAAATTTTTGTACGTGGCGTAAACCCGTTCCCGTGCTTTGCATCTTCACGACATCTTCCCTTCTTGCTGCACGCTCCTTTCTTGCATGCCTCTTCGTCTTCCTGCGAGCGATTGGCCGTGTAGTTGGGATGGTCAGATCAATGTGGTGAAAGTGGGAAGCGCGCACCACTTGAACGACCACCCCAATTACACAGAACGTTCGACTCACTTCCTTCGATCCTCTTGGAACCTTGGCCCTTCTTCTGTCCTGCTCATCTACACCCCTTGCTACCCGCACCTCGCATTGGAACCCCACCCATTTCTGCGTTATAAATTCTCGCAACCCTTTCCTCTCCTCCTCTTTGATCCCGGCTGCAATGTTGCGTGAGCTATGCGCGAGGTCCACGACGTCGAAAAGGCTTGACGTGCCGAGGGACAAGCTTAGAGCTATGTATCATCCACGGTCATGACTGCGAGCTTTTTGGCCGCATGTGGCCATCATCATGCCCGCGGGGGCCAATTGCTGGGACCAAGTGCGGCAAAAAAACCCCGTTATTTTTAATTCGTAGAATAATAGGTGAAAAACAAATAAAAAAATATGGGGTTGTAGGGTTTGAAAAATCGTACATCCCCATATTTTGTATTTGTTTTCTTAATGTTCTTTGTGATTTGAAAAAATGAAAAACGAAAACACAAGTATTAAAATCAAAAGAAACCTAGGCTACCAGAGTGGCCCGGGTCCACTTGCCCGGCCGGGCCAAAACGAAATTAAGAAAAAAAAAAAAATGGTAAAGAATTTCAATGTAACCCTGAGGCAAACATTGTTCAGTTGATTTTTTTGCATAACATAGTTTTTTTTCAAAGCTTTTGGATTTGTTTTTTTTGTTTTTTTTTTTGGCTGGGACCTTCCCTGGTCCTTGCACGGCCGGGCCACCCGGAAAAATAGGGTGACCCAGGCGGCCCGGCTGGTAGCCTAGAAAGAAACATATTAAAAAAAAAGGAACTTTTTCTTTTCATTTTGTTCTGATTGCTGGTGGGATAATCATGGTGCATCTGTTTCTTTGATTCTTTTTTTTTACCTACATATGCAAAATTAAAATGAAAGGGAAAAAAAAAGAAGATAATAATAAAAAGAAAAACCAAAGCCATTTCTTTTTTTTTTTCGTTTTTTCTAGACACACACTGATTGATTGATTGATTGATTGATTGACTAATTGATTGATTCACTGTGATTGGTTGATTGATTGATTTATTGTGTGTGTGTGTGTGTGTGTGTGTGTGTGTGTGTGTGTGTGTGTGTGTGTGTGTGTGCATGGCGCGGGTGTGTGTGTGTGTGTGTGTGTGTCAATGTGTGTGTGTGTGTGTGTGTGTGTGTGTGTGTCACATGTGTGAGTCACATGGGTTATGCACGAGCACGACACGTCATACTCGTGCAGCTCCGACCATACGTGTCGGCACACTGTGGGCAAGGTGCAAGGTGCGGAGGCGATTAACAAATGTAGCGGGGTAGAACCTCATCGTACGCCCATATGCGGTGAGGGTGAGAAGGGCTGTTTTGCCGCATGAAATACAAGTATACGAAACCCGACGGGGCGGGGGAGATAGGGTGGCGGAAGTCCGTTTTTGTGGCAGACTCATGCAAGAGCATCCATACAAAAAATAAGGTGAAATAAGGTAAAATAAAGTAAAATAAAGCAAAGTGGACACAGTTGGACCTCCAAACATCGGGACCACAAGAAGCATTTAACAGATTCCATTCGCAAAGGTGAAAACAACCATTCACACAATATAAAGCAAAACACAGCTGAGCCGTTATACATCACAGATGTGAGAAGTGAAAACAACAATTGACAGATGATAAAGCAAACTGAACACAACAGATCTTTCATACATCAAAATTGTGAGAAGCATTTGAAAGGATTCCAATCGTAAACGTGAGAGCAGTCATTCACAGAGAAGGTTAACCTAGGGCTACGAGATAGAATAGAAGGAGAGAAGATTCTGATTAGGACCCCGTCCAAGCAGATAACCATCCATGGAGGAGAGGAAGAAGAAGCGAGAAGGGTGTGAGATCACGAAACACAAATAACATGTAGACACAACGATCGCACAAAGTCTTTCTTTGAAAAGAATTATAGCCCCAAAACAATATCACGACAGACTATGCTGACTCTGTTACCAATATCCGCACGCGCAGCCGCTTACTCAGGGGATGACGAACGACGAAGGGGGAGATGAAGGGGGACAGGGGAAAAAAAGGGGGGGAAGAAGACGATCCTGCTTCAGCTCTATCCTCCAGGTCCGTTGTGCTCCTGTTTCCACACGGACCATCTCGCCGAATCAACAGGAAGGGCATGGCAAGTCCATGAAGCGCTCTTCTGCCCCATGCCATCCAGGGCGTCATCAGAGGGAGGACATCTTCCACGATCTCTGGAAGACGGGGGGGTTGAGGGGGGGTGCGGGGGGGCATTTCGAGGGGGGAATGGTGGATGGGGAGGGGGGCCGGAAGCTGGGGGGGAGAGAGAAAGGGGGTGGCATGGAGGGCAAAGTCCAGACGGAGGGGGGGAGGGGAGGGAATAGATGAAGTAGAGAAAGGAGAGCAAGGACAAAAAGGAAATAAACGCTAAAAAAACGTGCGACGAAGTACTTGTCGTCATCTTGGATTCCATTATCACACTAGCGCGCTAAGTACCCGCGTAGCCCGGCCAGCTGTCAATAGCGAGCAGAAAGAGCAGGCTGCAACACCCCGCAAGAAAAAGAGCGTTGAAGTAGATTGTGCCGGCGAGGAGCGTCCTAAAGCATCTAAACGAGGCCCATAAGAGCACCTTCTCCGAGAGGCAGGCGGTGACGAGCAGACCGGCTATGGCTAGGTTAGGCAGTAGAGCAAGGAAAAGTAGCAAGGCCAGGTACGCGCTATGCACAGGCGAGAACACGCAGTTGTTGGATATGGCGGTAGCGGCGGGGCACATCGCGGCGTTCTGCATAGTGCAAGACTGTCGTGCGCTCAGGGAGGCAAGCCGGAGGGTCTCACGCTGGGAGCGTTACCACTTCCTCCTCCTCGTGTTGCTCCTCCTCCTAGTCCCACTCAGCAAAGAAGTCCATATCGCTCTGGTCCGCACAATGCTCCCGCTCCAACCGTATCGCACCGCACCTCTTCCGCTGTCAGAACTGATAATCGCACGGTGGATCGATGAGTAGCACCCCAAGTGTCTAGTCCTAAAATAGTCCTAGTCCTACCCCGTCACGTTATAGTACACTTGTGCTAAACGCTTCCTGCGCCATCCATCCGTTTAGTGTTTTAATCCGTCGATCGAAAACTTCCGAGGTACAGTGAAAAAAAGCAAACAAAAAAAGGAAAAAAAATGGGGAAAAAAAGGGGGGAAAAAAGGGGGAAAAGAAGCGCAAACAAAAGAGCCGTGGAAGTACTGGCGGCAACCTACCATCCTATTGGGGAAGACAACGGTCGGACGGGAAAGCTCTTATGCCCGCCCGGTTGGCCTGCCGCTCCCTTACTAGCCAGCATTCCTCAGCCAAGACCGAGAGTGAGCTGCTCTCTAGGCCCCAAGGCGTCCACCCCATTCCTGTGCGGGGTCAGTATTACGGGGGAGGTGGAAGGGTCTCAGTTCAGCTTGCGCGGGTTTAGAACAATCCGCCACTACCCCCCGATCGATCCAGCAAAACGAAAAAAAGGAGGAAAAAAAGGAGGAAAAAAAAGAGGAAAAAAAGGAGGAAAAAAAGGAGGAAAAAAAGGGGAAAAAAGAAAGAAAAGAAAAAAAGAAAAAAAAAGAAAAGAAAGAAGAAAAAAGAAAGAAAAAAAGAAGAAAAGAAAAAAGAAAAAAAAAAGAAAAAAAAAACGAAACAAGGAGGAGAAGACCACAAACGGGGGGGCGAAAAGACAAAAAGAGACAGAGAAGGGGGGGAGGGGAGGAAAAAGGGGGGTGATGGAGAGACGAATACGCAGACGGTCCTCATTCTCGCGGGGGGCAGCTGTCTCCTATCCGCAAGCTCTCCCAACCAGCCATCGCTGATACCCTGTATGCATGTGTGTGTGTGTGTGTTTGTGTGTGTGTGTGTGTGTGTGTGTGTGTGTGTGTGTCCCACCCCGTTCCCTCCGTGGAACAGCTAGGGCCGAGGGGGACGGCTGTCCAGAGAACAACCGGCCCTCTCGGCCCAGTTGCCCCCCGGATACCATCCACAGACAAACACACCTACACAGATATCATCACAGCAGTTAGTCAACAACCCCATGCAAATTAGCTAGAGCTTCTCTAATCATATGCACGGACAGCCTGCCCGGTTGGTAAAGGTAAGCGTTGCGAAGAGTTTTCTTGACCACTTTCCAGCAGGCGCTAGCAGCGAAGCCATTCCCCACCATCACCTCCACCACCTTCGCGATCTCATTCGTTGCATCCTCCGATTCCGAGCAGATCAGAAGTATCTGAGCTACCTGCGCCATAATGATCTGCAATGACTGCTTGGTACTCCGGTTGGACCTGTATTTCATAAATCGGCAGGGTGAGAAGCTGATACCAGCACGCTTATCGTGCTTGGATGTGATGTACGTGCCCGTGACCGGTGACGTGACCGTAATGGTCATGCTCGGGAAGTTCGCGACGGGGCCAATTCCGTCCTCGCACACTTCAGTGTTCTCCTTGATCTCGATGAACTGATCGGGATAAATCCAGTAGGGGTCATTCGCGTCCCTCTCTCCGGATGCGCGCAGAAAGTCCTTGATGACCGCGTTATTGATGGCACTCAGGTCGTCGATGTACCTGAAGGTGCTCTCGAAGCATGGGACCAGGTGGGCGTTCCCTGTGTCCTTCAATCTCATCATGGCGTGAAACTCATACTTAAAAAAATATATGTCACACCAGATTGGGGAGCATGCGAGCCCCATCGGAATGCCCCTCACCTGCCGCCAAACATAATCGCCCATTCGCAACACGCTGTTTGCAATGCACCATTCGGTGATCCAGCAGATATCCCCTTCCTTGAACAAGAGCGACCCTATCTCCTCGCGTTGCTCATTGTCCACCCATGATGGCCACAGACTGCCGTTCTCGCCAAATCTGATCCGGATGGTATGGCAAGAGCTCCTCTCCCTCCTCACTTGCATTGCGCACTGTACGTAGAATCTGATTGCCGTAGGGAGGCTATCTTCCGAGTTGTCCGTCGGGATGGCCTCAAAGCATCTCGTAATGTCGGCGGTGAAGACGGAGTAGACCTTCTCGGGTAGATTCGCATGGAACTCACCCACCGAGGCTATGACCCACCAAAGGTTGGGTCTGACCTCGTACGGCTCCTGCACCTCCATGCTCTTCTCCTGGCAAAACGTGTGTACCAGCGGGAGAAGGAATCGCAGTAGGCAAGCGCACACCTCCGCAGCGGGTGAAAGGATTGTGTTCGCCGTGTTCGTAATCCACCGGAATGTACCCTTGTGCGCCTTCAGCACCGCCATGATGTATGGGAGCGTAGCCGGCGCTACCGGGAGTGACGGGAAGGCAGAGAGCTCTCCTCCTTATTCGTGAAGTGACCACCTCGGGGGGCACATCGAGGCAGGCGAACTCCTCACCAGATAGCCTCTGGAAGGCAAGTTTACGGATGAAATTCTTACATACGAAGGCCGGGGTGTTAGGCGCTTTGTCCGTCGGGCAGATAAGGAACCTGGTCGTAATGAACTCCAGCTCCCTCTTGACGGCAGGATGCTCGAATGGTTCTGCGACTGCGTGCCTGTGTGCCATCTTGAACCTCATCATCTTCCCTCTCGCCTTCTTTAGGATAATTCTGCGTAGCAGCGACTTAGTTGAATCCGTGAGATCCTGCAGCTCCATTACCCTAGCGAAGAGATTGTCCAGAAAAAGGTCCAATTCTCCCATCGCCTCCTCCATGTCGAGAGGCGTGAATGGAATGTGGTTGAGGCCCGCGTAGATGACTCCCTGCAGCAGTGGGTTATCCGTGATTGATGAATCCAGGGTGATGACATGCGTGCACCCTTTGTTGTGAAGCAGTTCTATCGACTAGTTACTCCACATGTCCTCATATCTTCGAGCCCTGCAGGGGCACTGCTCCGGGTCATAGCTGTCCAACCATTGAGACACGTCGAAGTCGCAGAATACCTCCGCCGGTCTACAAAGTTTTGATGTATGTCCAACCGATCCTGGTGCGCTGCAGCCAGCTCGCTGTGTCGTCTAAGATCACCCTGCTAAGTACCTCATTCACCAACCTTCTGGCGGACAGCGGCTCCATCACGCGGCTGGTGTACCTCAGATGCAGAAAATTGTCACAATCAAACTTCTGTCTCTCCCACGCCCTCCTGCCGCTTGGTAGGGTAATCATTTGTCTAGGGGCGTAAACCCATCTGTTCGGATCCTGCGCTAACATGCACACGACGGGGAGTGTGTCGAAAAAAAAGCACACCAAAAGAATGATCGCTGATCCGAATGATCCAAGAGCAGTCAGGGAATCCTGGAGCACAATCGGGGGGGTGCGAGAGGGGGGGGGGGGGGGGGGGGGGGGGGGGGGGGAGAGGGGGAGATGGAGAGAGAGAGAGAACAGGAAAGGGAGAGGACGGGAGGGACGCAGGAGGAGATGGAAATTCGAAGGGGAAGGGGGGAAGCGTGGCGACACTTTTCTTGCTTCTATGCCCTCGTGGGGCGTCTTTTAGCTGTAGTGGCGCCACCCCTGCCCGCGCCCCTTCCACCTACGTTCTTCTTACTCCTTCCAGTTTGAGTGATCGTGGAGTGTGTGGAACTTTCCGGTGAGATGTGGATGACCGGTGGAGGGGTGAGGCCCCTGATGTCCACCAGAGGGCGAATGGTCAGAAGCGGCGAGGCTAGGACCGGCAGCCAGGTGGGCGCGTGTGGTACCGATTGCTGTCCCCCGTCATGGGGTGGGTTCATGGGGGGGTTCCCCAGGTAAACTGCGCCAGTCCGGTGTGGTGCATTCGCGGCCGCCATCGCGGGTTCCTGCGGGGGCGGGATTGGAGGGGGAGGAGGGGGAGGGGGAGGAGGGGGAGGGGGAGGAGGTGGAGGCGGGGGAGCATCGTTCGCAGGTTGGGCTGGCTGGAAGTTGAGCGTGGTCTGGCCCGGCACCTGTGCCGTTCGATTCCTCTTTCATGCTGCGGCACGTGGAGAACTGAGCGGGACCCTCGTGGGTTTCTCTGGAATTCGGGTGCGGAGCATGATGCGCGCGAGCGCCGCGGGAATCAGGTAGTTCCAGAGGTGGTCCTCTTTCAACACGGTTTCCACATTCAGGGTTGCATCTTCCTCGAGTGCCTTCGTGTAGCCCATCACTAGGTCCCTGAGGAAGTGGAAGCTGATGGCCGCGAGTACTCCCTCGCTCCATGTGGTCCTGAGATAGTGGATGAGCATTGAAGTTCGAATTTTGATCGAGGACATGCCAGGAAACAGAATGTCGGGGTGCGCCAATAGGTACCATATCGCGTGATCGAACCATAGAGGGGTATCTCCGCAGTCCTTGCTTTTCTCCTTCTTGCATTTGCACTTGAGGTATGGTCTGCTGACACTCCATACCTTTCTCAGAATCCTGAGTTCCGGTTTTCCGTCCTGTCTGATGCCTTTCTGCCACATACCTGAGTTCGTTTCTCCGCATTTGTCAGGATCCAGCTCGTGCATGGAGGGAAACTTGAGGTCCTGGGGATCTAGTGGGCTGACTCTGCCACAAAACTTTAGCTTCCCCTTCACGATCTGCGCTCTGCAGTGCTTAACCTGCTCATCCGTGACGTTCCCAAGGAATTGGAGGGCCCGAACGGAGATGTGTGCAAGATGGTTGAAGGTATCCATCTTCCAGATAGCGTGTTTGGAGCCGATGGACGTATGTTCAAACCAGTATGCAGATGCGATGGGTGCGAATGCAGTGTATTGGTCGCGCGCATCACCGCCCGTTTTGTTCGATGCGAGCAGGGAATCCAGGGCAGTGGCGCTTATGGCAGCGATCACGCATTCCATCTCAAGTCTCTCCTCCTCCTCTACTGCGAGATCATCGCAGTGTGCCGTCGGAGTGCTCTGAGCGTTAGGCGTATTACCCATCCTAGTTTTGGGGACCCGGTCCTCCAGATGGGAGTCATCCAGTCCCCAGATCCTGAGGAAGATCTGTTCGATCTTGGCGGATCTCCCCCTGAGCTCTCTACATTCCTTCCCGTATTCCTGTTTCCTTAACTCAAGCTTCTCGCACAGCGCCCAATTCTCTGTCGAAGTCGTCCCTGCTACGATCCCAGGCACCCGCTAGCACGGCGAGATCACTAAATCCAATCATCTGAAAAACGTGGGGGTATCGGCCAGAGTCCCATTTCTCTTTCAACGCATCGACGACCCCAGGGTTGACGCAAGCGAATAATGCCTGTGTGGGTCTCGCGGGACAGGCGCATCCCTGCAGCCACGGGTATCGATGCACGATCTCATTCCACCATCCTCCAGGGAACGCCTCCTTGGGTGGCGGAAGGACCTGTGCCAGCGAGGTTTAAATGTTTGGAAAACATTCGTGCACGAAAGGCAACGACAAAGCGGGGCAGTCGAAAAAATAGGGGATTGAGACGCCAGCCCATCCGCAAGAAAAGGGACCGTTTACACCAGAAAGAACAGGTAATGACCAAGCAGTAACGGTAGCGAAGCTGACAATCAAGCAAGCAGGAACGGGAAAAAAGGGGAAGGGGGGAAAAAAAGGGGGGGAGAGGGCTGATGAGCCAGAAAGGGGACCGCAGGCGGGAAACAGGACGGGGAAGGAGGGGGGAAGGAGGGGAGGAGGGGGGAGTAGAAAACAGGGACAGGGATATAGCGTGGTCAGCGATATACGCAAAAGCACTGCAGGTCGGATATGGCAACAAGTAATAGGACGCGCCATGTAACTTCCCAGTCGTTCGCCCCTCTTACGGGTTTCATGTCTTTTCTTCACTCGATTGGCAATATCCCAGCCGCCACTCCTGCCGACGTTCAGGCGACTAAGGCGTATCCCAATGGCTACTTCTATCACCTAAATCCACGCAACGGCACGCACGAAGTGCCGTAAAAAAGGGGGGACCACAGTGCGGCCAGGGGGGGCACCCCCCAGCAGCACTTGAGGAAGCTCGTCCTCCTGAGTGTGTCGCATGTGTGAGTCACATGGGTTATGCACGAGCACGACACGTCATACTCGTGCAGCTCCGACCATACGTGTCAGCACACAGTGGGCAAGGTGCAAGGTGCGGAGGCGATTAACAAATGTAGCGGGGTAGAACCTCATCGTACGCCCATATGCGGTGAGGGTGAGAAGGGCTGTTTTGCCGCATGAAATACAAGTATACGAAACCGGACGGGGCGGGGGAGATAGGGTGGCGGAAGTCCGTTTTTCTGGCAGACTGATGCAAGAGCATCCATACAAAAAATAAGGTGAAATAAGGTAAAATAAAGCAAAGTGGACACAGTTCGACCTCCAAACATCAGGACCACAAGAAGCATTTAACAGATTTCATTCGCAAAGATGAAAACATCCATTCACAGAATATAAAGCAAACACAACTGAGCCATCATACATCACAGATGTGAGAAGTGAAAACAACAATTGACAGATGATAAAGCAAACTGAACACAACAGATCTTTCATACATCAAAATTGTGAGAAGCATTTGAAAGGATTCCAATCGTAAATGCGAGAGCAGTCATTCACAGAGAAGGTTAACCCAGGGCTACGAGATAGAATAGAAGGAGAGAAGATTCTGATTAGGACCCCGTCCAAGCAGATAACCATCCATGGAGGAAAGGAAGAAAAAGCGAGAAGGGTGTGAGATCACGAAACGCAAATAACACGTAGACACAGCGATCGCAAGAAGTCTTTCTCTGAAAAGAATTATAGCCCCAGAACAATATCACGACAGACTATGCTGACTCTGTTACCAATATCCGCACGCGCAGCCGCTTACTCAGTGGATGGCGAACGACGAAGGGGGAGATGAAGGGGGACAGGGAAAAAAAAAGGGGGGAAGAAGTTGATTGTGCTTCAACACTATCCTCCAAGTCCGTTGTGCTCCTATTTCCGCACGGACCATCTCGCCGAATCAGCAGAAAGGGCATGGCAAGTCCCTGAAGCGCTTTTCTGCTCCATGCCATCCGGGGCGACATCCGAGGGAGGACATCTTCCACGATCTCTGGAAGGCAGGGGGCTTGAGGGGGGGAGCGGGGGGCCGTTCCGAGGGGGGAATGGTGGATGGGGAGGGGGGGCGGAAGCTGGGGGGGAGAGAGAAACGGGGTGGCATGGAGGGCAGAGTCCAGACGGAGGGGGGAAGGGGAGGGAAGAGATGAAGTACAAAAAGGAGAGGAAGGACAAGAAGGAAATAAACGCTCAAAAAACGTGCGACGAAGTCTCTGTCGTCATCTTGGATTCCATTATCACACTAGCGCGCTAAGTATCCGCGTAGCCCGACCAGTTGTCAATAGCGAGCAGAAAGAGCACGCAGCAGCACCCCGCAAGAAAAAGAGCGCTGAAGCAGATTCTGCAGGCGAGGAGCGCTGTAAAGCATCTCTCTCTCTCTCTCTCTCTCTCTCTCTCTCTCTCTCTCTCTCTCTCTCTCTCTCTCTCTCTCCACAGTTAAGCGAGTCTTGCTTTGTTTCTCTTTCCCAACTGCAGGGCACTTCCAGTCACATGGTTCTGTGCAGGGGGCCACGTAATGACATTAAGGCACCGCTGCCATAAGAAGTGACACCCACCACACAACTCTGCCTACCCCAGCCACAGTAACTCCTTTTTTCGCACGAGACCCCAGCTAAATCCTTTGTGTCCACAATTCAAAACTCTCTCTCTCTCTCTCTCTGTGTCTCGTTATCTCTCTCTCTCTCTCTCTCTCTCTCTCTCTCTCTCTCTCTCTCTCTCTCTCTCTCTATATATATATATATATATATATATATATATCTATCTAT